ACACCATTTTAGCTCAGTAATGAAGTCACTCCCGAGGTTCACCCTTCAGCCAAAGATTAGACAGGCCCATAAAACAAAATGAGACTAAAGGGGCACACCAGCCCAGAGGCAAGGACTAGAAGGCAGGAGGGGATAGGAAAGCCGGTAATGGGGAACCCAAGGTTGAGAAGAGAGAGTGCTAACATGTGGTGGGGTTGTTAACCAACGTCACAGAACGATATGTGTACTAACTGTTTAATGTGAAATTAGTTTGTTCTGTAAACCTTCATCTAAAGTACAATTAAGAAAAAAAAGAATGTCTGTGTTGAGCATTGTGCTCTCTTAAAGAATTATCTATATGTGTGATCAAACTGACAATAGCAACTTGCAAGGTTAGATGAGAAGCTTAGGGGGCCGTGAGCTTATGTTAATGATGGAGGAATAATTTGGAAAAGGAGGCAGGAACGGATGCACAACTTGAAGCATGTAATCAATGTCACTGAATTGTACACATAGAAATTGTTGAACTGATGTATGTTTTGCTGTGTATATTTTCATAAAAAATAATTTTTTTAAAGTTTCAGGGACTTAATAGAAAATATATACATAATGAATAAATAGATGGGGAACCTTAGCAGAGAAAACTACAGAAAAGAACCAAATGGAAATTCTAGAGCTAAAAAGTACAATAACTAAAGTGAAAAATTCACTGGAAGGGATTAAAAGCTGATTGGAGACAGTAGAAGAGTCAGTGAACTTGAAGATAAATTAAGTAAAATTATCTGATCTGAAGAAGAGAAAAAGAAGCTTGAAAAAATTAAACAGAACCTCAGAGAACTGTGGGACAATACCAACCAGCCTAACAGATATGTAATTAGTGTCCCACAAAGAGAGGAAAAAGAATGGGACAGATAATATATTTGAAAAAATAATAACTAATTTTTTTCAAACTTGGCAAAAGATATCTACTTATCGGTCCAACCAAACCAAAACCAACTCATTGCTATAGAGTCAATTCCAACTCATAGCGGCTCTATAAGACAGAGTATAACTGCCCCATGGGGTTTCCAAGGTTGTAATCTTCATAGAAGCAGACTGCCACATCTTTCTCCCGCAGAGCTGCTGGTGGGTTCGAACCACACCTTTCGGTTAGCAGCCGAGAGCTTAATTACTGCACCACCAGGGGCTCCTTTTACAGATTCAAGAAGGATAAATCTTAAAAAAACAAACAACAAAAAACAACCACATCATAGTCAAACTTCTGAAATCCGAAAATAAGGAGAAAATCTTGAAAGCAACGAGAGAAAAAAACACATTATATACAGGGGGACAAAACTATGAATGACATTGACTTCTCATCAAAAAACCATGGAGACATCTCATGGGATTGATTTACTGGATTTGAAACCTCAGGACCATAGTTTCGTGGGACAACTAGGTCAACTGGCATAACTTAGCTCATAATGTTCTACATTCTAGTTTGGTGAATAGAGTCTGGGGTCTTAAATGCTTGAGAGCAGCCATCCAAGACACAACTATCAGTCTCTTCCTATTTGCAACAAAGGAGAGTGAAGGAAACCAAAGACTCAAGGAAGAAATCAGTCCACAGGACTAATGGCCCACATGAACCACAGCCTCTTCTACCCTGAGACCAGAAGAACTAGATGGTGCCCAACTACCACCACTGACTGTTCTGACCAGGGACACAATAGAAAGTCCTGCTTAGAATGGGAGAAAAATGTAGAACAAAACTCAAATTCATAAAAAAGAACAAACTTACTGGATCAATAGAGACTAGAGGAACCCCTAGCTTATCACCCTAAGATATCCTTCTAACCTGGAACTAAAGCCATTCCTAGAAGCCACCTTTCAGTCAAATAACAGACTGGCCTAAAAAATAATCAATAACATCTGTGAGGAATATGCTCCTTTAAACAATCAACTATATGAGACCAAACAGTCAACATTTACTCAAAAGCAAAGATGAGAAGGGAAGGAGGGGCACAGAAACTGGATGGATGGAAACAGGGCGGGTGGGGTGGAAATGGTGCAAGTGCTGACACATTGCAGGGATAGTAAGCAATATCATTGTGGAACAATCTGTGTATGAATTGTTGAATGAGAATCAATCTGCTGAATAAACTTTCATCTGAAACACAATAAAATATTCAAAAAAAGATTAAAAAAAAAAAATACCATGGAGACCATAAGACAATGGAACAAATATTTAAAGTACTAAAAGAAGAAAGAAGTTCAACACAGAGGACTATATCCAATGAAACTAGCCTTAAAAAATGAAGGGGAAATACAGACATCTTCAGACAAACAAAAATTTAAAAAATTAATCACCAGCAGACCTTTACTACAGGAAATGCTAAAGGAAATCCTTCAGGGTCAGATGGTAACTTGGATCTGTAAGAAGGAATAAAGACTACTGGGAATGGTACATATGTAAATATATGGGTAAATATAAAAAACCTATTGTTCAGAAAATAAATAACATAGCAGGCCTGAGACTGCTATCCTTACAGAGGCTGGCTTGCAAAGTTGGCCCTTGGCTGGTGTCTGGGAACTTGAATGGTAGACACTTCACTACACTGATATAAAACTTCCCTAAATGATAAGAATGGCCTAAACTGTGCCTAAACTGTTTGTAGAAACAATGTGGCTTATGCTGAACACTTGCTTATTTCTGGGAGTCTGGAATTTCAGTGTCTGAAATTGTGTCTCTGTCAGTATTCCTGATAAAAACTCTGGAGTCTGGGGCTCTGGTGAACTTCACTAGTAGATAACACTGCACATCTGTTCTCATTGCTGTAGGAATTAAGTGTGTCCTGTGTGACTCCACTGGGAGAGGGCTCTTGGACGCTTAAACCTGGTTCCTCTACCCCTCCTACTTTGCTGCTTGAGCCTTTTCCCTTTGCTAATTTTGCTTTATATCCTTCCACTGTGATAAATCTTAGCTATGAATGACCAGGACTACATGCTGAGTCTTGTGAGTCCTTCTAGTGAATTACCAAACCTGGAGGAGGTCCTGGGGATCCCTAACACAATTATATACATATTTCTTTTCCTCTTTTAATTTCTTTAGAGACATATAACTGATTAAAGGAAAAAATTAGAAATGTGAGGTATATACCATATGTAATATATATTACACATGCAATGTTACATATGTCATATAAATACATAGATATATATATATATATATTTCAACAACAGCAAAACGAACGGGGTGTAAATTAAATATACTGTTGAAAAGTTCCTACATTTAACATGAAGTAGTACAATATTAACCTGAAGCGTATGTCATAAAAACAAGATACATATTACAATTCCTACCGTAAACACTCAGAAAGTGTGCATTTTATTGTAGGTTAAAAATTTAGAGTAAAAAAATAATAAGGCAAGAAGATATAGCCAACAAGCCAACAGAGAATCAAAATGGAATACAAAGGAGAAACAGAGGAACCAAAATAGTCAAATGAAACAAAGAGAAATCAAATAGCTAAATTGCAAAGTCAAATCCAACCATGACAATAATTATATTAAATGTAAATGGAGTAAATATTCCCATTAAAAAGCAGAGATTGTCAGATTAGTTGGCAGAGGAAGATCTAACTACCGTGTTCTTATGCTACTACTTTTTTTGCCAACCACGCAAAGCTCTCACACGTTATCTTCCTAGGCACGCTGTGCTCATTGTATGTGTGGGTGCATTATTTGTGTGGGCTCCTTGTTTGTGAAAAATACAACACTTGCCATCTACAAGAAACTCATTTTAAATATAAAGACACAGATAGATGACATTAGCCATCAAAGAGATGCAAATCAAAACCACTACGAGATACCATTTCAATCCCCCTAGGATGACTAATGGAGCCCTGGTGAAGTAGTGGGTAAGTGCTACCGCTGCTAACCAAAAGGTCAGAAGTTTGAACCCACCAGCTGCTCCTTGGAAACCCTTGGGGCAATTCTACTCTGTCCAGTAGGGTTTCTATGAGCCGGAATCAACTTGACATCAATGAGTTCAGTTTTTTTTTTTTTTTTTAATGGTTGGCTAAGACTTTTTAAAAAACACACACACAGAAAATAACAAATGTTGGTGAGGATGTGGGGAAATTGGAACCTTTACCCATTGCTGGTGAGAATGTAAAATGGTACAGCCATTGTGGAAACAGCATGGTGGTTCCTCAAAACACTAAAAATAGAACTACCATATTACTCAGTGATTCCACTGTTAGGAATACACCCAAGGAACTTGAAAGCAGAGATATATGCTCATTGCAGCACTATTCACAATAGCCAAAAGGTGGAAACAATCTAAATGTCCATCCGTGAAAGAATGGATAAACAATCTGTGGTACATACATACAATGCAATACTATTCAGCCCAAAAGAGAAGTGAAGTCTTGATGCATGCTATAACATGGATGGAGCTTGAAGACATTATGCTGAGTGAAACAAATCCATCACAAAAAGACAAATATTGTATGGCCTCACTTATATAAAAAGACAAGAACAGGCAAATATCTAGAGACCAAAGTTTATTAGCGGTTACCAGGGGAGGGAGGGAATGGGAAAGGGGAAGGTGATTGCTTATGGAGCACTGAGTTTCAGTTTATGATGATTGAAAAATCACACAGATTAAGGGTAAAGTTGCAAAGTCGATTAATGTAACTCCTGTCAATAAATTGTACACTTGTAAAAAGTTGAATTGGCAAAAATTATGTGATAGATATATCTGCAACAACAATTCGAACTGCCGACCTTTTGGTTAACAGCCGAGCTCTTAACCACTGCGCCACCAGGGCTCCATAACAGGTAAAGACTTGGTAAATAAATTTATAACAATTGCCAAGGTCTGCTGGCCAAATACAGCTTGAAGTCTGTTTTTGAAAATAAAGTTTTACTGGAGCTCAGCATTACTCATTCGTTTACGTATACGATAGAGATTTGTACACTGGCAACAACCCCTAGAAGAAAACAGCTACTAAGATTCCTTCTAGCACAAAGATTTTGCAGTTCTTTGAACTACTTTCTCGTATTTTAACCAAATTCGAAGAGAAAAGGTCAGGGCCTTGTGGGAATTTTTAAAAAAAAATGAATTCAGCCAAAAGGCAGTGCCATGATTAAAGGTGTAATGCAGCTACAAACTCCAAACTTAATATTTCGGCACACATGATTATAAACAGAATGCACACAACATTTTTGGAAATTATCACTAAAATGAGTGAGTTTAAAGTTCTGGGCTGAACTGAAAATTTCTAGGTGAACCTTTCCTGATAAAGCACATAACCACTGCCGACTAGTCGATTCTGATTCATAGTGACTCCATAGGACAACGAAGAACTTCCCCATATGGTTTCCAAAGCTGTAAATCTTTACTGAAGCAGACTGCCACATCTTTCTTCCATGGAGCGGCTGGAGGTTCAATCAAGCACTTAACCACAGCGCCACCAGGACACCTATTTCTGATAAAGTCGTAAAACAAATTATAAAACCAACCACAACTGGCAGCCTTGCCCCAGGTGCAGTTCCTTCTTTCCTCAAATATTTACTGTAGGTCTACTGTGGGTCCACCTCTGAGCCAAGTACTGTGGAGGAACCAAAGACACAAGCCATTCCCTAGGGAATTTTACAATCTAACTAGAAGCGAGTACAGATAAGATGTGTGGTGAAATGCAAAGAACACATAAAATGACACTCGTGAAGAGTATGCTTCTTAGCTCAAGTAGATATATGAGACTAAATCGGCGGCTCCTGTCCAGAAGTGAGATGAGAAGGCAGAGCCGGTCAGGAGCTGGGTGAATGGACACGGGAAATCCGGAGTGGAAAGGAAGACTGTGCTGTCTGTCACACTATAGGGAGAGCAACTAGGGTCACAAAACAATGTATGTATAAATTCTTGTAATGGGAGACTAACTTGACTTGTAAACTCTCACTTAAAGCACAATAATAAAAAAAAGAAAGAAAGAAATGCAAAGAACACTCTGCAGGGGTAGTTTCAGCAGGCTGCCGTAAGGTTAGGGGACTTGGACTGAGATCGAAAGAACGCGGCCAGGGAGAAAATAGGGTGGAAGAAGGCAGGCACTTCCAGGGCTGCGGAACAGGTAAAGCAAGCAAAGTAACGAGATAACCTGAATTCTGTCTGCAGAGAACCCCTAATATCACTCCAACACCTTCGTCCGGCCCTCCTATCAATTTCTTCCCAACCTTTAGATCTGTGGTTCTCAAAGTGTGGTCCTTGGACCAGCCGTATCAGCAATCATCTGGGAACCTGAAATGCAAGGAGGACCCACCCCAGACCTGAGTCAGAAAGTGGGGGAGTGGGGCAACAGTCTACGTTTCAACAAGTCCTTCAGGTGATTCTGAAACATGCGTTAAGTTTGAAAACCACTCCTCTGGGGCTACCTGCTAAGAAAGCCCTCCGCACAGAAAAGTGATGCCGTTCTAAGTGCCTAGTGGGTAAATCGGCCACTTTGCTGGGAGCAGAAAGGGAGTTGATAGCAGGTCCCAGCCAAGAGTTCTGTCTCTGTCCCAATTTCGCGTTCTCCTCCAGAACACCTTCTCCCAGTTACTACCCTCTACGCCAGCCTCTCCCGGATGCCTTTACCCTCACAGTGCCCACTCCCGACCATCCGTCGCCCTACCTCAGAGTCAGCGGCGACGTGGTGCCGGCAGGGAAGGGAGCTGCCCAAGAAGACAGGAAAAGATGTAGTGCTTGCCCGGAGCCCGCCCAAGAGGAGTAAAACGCCTCGGACCCACAGAGACCCGCTCCAGCGCCACCCGCTTGGGCCCGGGCCTGAACCCGGGTAACCCGCTCCTCCACCCCACTCGGCCGCCATCTTCGGGCCGAGCGTCGTTACCATGGAGTGCGTGGCGCCTCCGCGTCCGGCGCCAGCCCCGCCCCCCGCCGCCAGGGGCAGGTGGAGAGGAAAGGTGCTTTTCCATTGGCCGGCGTCATCTGTACGAACTTCACCGCGGAACATGAGGGTGGCGACCCCGTCCATCGCGTCTCGTTACGCGAAGAGGGCCAATAAATGCCGTTTACTGACCCACGTGATTGGGCTGTGAAGACTTAACAGATGTGGATGGTAGGGGGACCGTGTGGATGTCTGGGCCAGTTTTTCAGTCCTTGTATCAGTCATTCACTGAAGAGATGTGTACCCATTACATGCAAGGTGCTGACACAAACAGCTGCAAAAACTTTTATACTTTAGTGCTCTATATAAAAGGTGAATGGGATACAATTTCCACTGTTACTTCTTGAGTCACTAATTTTAGGCTTATTTCTCAGTCAATTCCCATAGTTTAGTTTACCATTTTATTCAACCCCATGCCTTGGCTTCTATCCAACCAGTTGCAACTGCACTAACCCTGAAGACATTGAGAAGATCCTTACCATTAAGGAAACTCTACCTCTAAAAAAAAAAGAATAGCCCTGGTGGCACAGTGGTGAAGCGCTCAGCTACTAACTGAAATGTAGGCGGTTTGAACCCACCAGCCGCCCCGCCGGAGAAAGATGTGGCAGTCAGCTTCTGTAATAACAGCCTTGGAACCCCTGCAGGACAGTTCTATCCAGCCCTATAGGGTCGCTTAGGCAACGGGTTTGGGTTTTTCTTGGTTTATCTTCAAAACTGAGCTAGAAGAAACTATAAAAAACTGAAAATTGGGAGAATCTCCATATAGCCCATAAAACAGAAAGTTAAAGCTAAGAGCTGGGAACAGTCCTTCAACAGGAATTGAATATTGTAAATTACCGTACTAGGAATTGTAGGGAGTAGTCAAGAACAACAGAAAATCCTCAAGAACTCAATGAAGGGTAATACACAAGGGTAATAGTGATACAAGGTGGGTGAGGCTTAATTACTACCATTTTACAAGTGAGTAAACTCGTATGTGATAATGTCTATCATCCCACAAGTAGCGGTTTTTTTTTTTCTTAACTACAAGAGGACCACAAAGAAATCGCAGGTTGTGGACAAAGAATGGAACCAGTCATCCTCAAGCTCCTAGTTGGAACAGAAGTACCATGCTGAGGAGGGGCTGTTTCAATAGCCTACAGACAAGAGAGCTCCTCAAAACAGAAGCAGAAAAGCACAATGCACCCTCTCCAAGTGCAGCATCACCTCAGAAGAGCATTTATTTGCATGCATGGTTCGTTTGCCACTATACAAATATACTCAAGATACCCTAAGGATTCTTAGGCTTTTCCCTGCTTTGATCCAGAGCCTATTTCTCTCCATCTCTCTCACTCAGAATATCACTCAACTCCAACAAAGGCGACACGTAAGATTTCTTTCCTATGTTCCTGATCCAGACCTGAAATATCAACCTACCCTTCAGGACATGTTCACATGTCAACATCCTATAGCTTTCTCCAACGCATCGGCTCTTTCCCCACTAAACCAGCAATATTTCCTGACTCCCCAACTCCATAAATGCACCACTATTCACCCAGCCACCTAAGCTAGGAACATGTTATCCTTGAAGCCTCTTCTCCACAATCAACTGGCTCTAAAATTCTACAGTTAACATTTACATAACTTGCTCTATTTCAGTGTGCAAAAATCTGTTAAGACTGCAAGGCCTACCTGGTTTCCCCCTCCTTCAGCTTATGCTAGGATGCCATTGAGATTTTTCTAAAATATGAATCTGGTCACCCCTGTGAGTCAAGTTCTAGAGTGACAATTCAATCACAATGTTAAATCTAAAGTCCTTAGAATGGTATACAATATCTTTCATAATCATTAATTTTCTAGACTTACTTTCCCATCATTCCCTACCTACGGGTCACACCCAGTGACTCAGTTTGAACAGTTCCTCAAATGACTTTTCTGTTCATATAAAACTTAAGGGGCATTTTTCCTTTTCTGAAATACCCTCCTGATAGGTTTATATAAGAATTTCTTTACATGCCTCAATCTCTGATCACCTCAAGGGTACTGACCATTCTATTTAACCAGCACAATGACACCTTCGGTTGATTTTGGGTCAGATTAAGGTGGCTTTTTTATATGGGAGAAGATACCTAAATGTTACTTAAGTAGGTCCAAGACTTTCTGCCCTTGACTCAATTTTCCAAGCTGTTTCTTTAGGACTCTAATCACCAAACTTTCAACTTGTGGCATGCTCAGATATCCTGGAGAGTTCCTTAGAATCCACCTCACTGCCTGAGGCCACACAAACTGTTGCCACAGACTGAGCATAGCAGGAATACGAAGGCAAGCCTGTTTCAGTGAAGGATTGGACTCCTCCAATAGCAACTCTGGCTTGAACCTTACTTACAATCGCACTGTGTACCCAATCCTTTCCTTCACCCTCTCCTTCAAAGATGTCAGATCTCAACTTCTCAAGCTCCCTCCCCTTAATTCTACAAAAAATCTGTGGCATATCTAATCTGTTCTTGCCATCTGCTTCTCAAAGAACCCAAGTACACATTTCAAAACTGGCTTGGTTTGACGAACTCAGTTACTTGACGTTTTCAGTGGAATGTCAAAATCTGTTGTTAGTAAAAGCAAGGGCCTAGCTGCTACTGAGCCCTCAACTGAAAATCTTCACGAATCATACCACAAACTGAAGCATGAGTGCAAATTTTACACTTCAGCACATTTTCAGATTTAAAACATTTTACAGCCCTGTTCACTTTCCTTTGTAAAATGCTAATATAGCTCAATTCTGCACTTTACTACAACATGAAGCCAAAGAAAGCTACTGTCTAGGCACTAATCCTAAACCCCATACACCACAGGATTAAACATCTGTTTCTGAGGTAGAATCGTGTGGTCTTATTCCGCTCAACAGTTTTTTACATAATACTCATATTCTAGAATGCTTTGTTGTCAAAAAACCCAACGATAGCCCATCTAAGCCTATAAAAGCGCTGCCAAAACCCTTCAATACTATCTCCGTTCCCTCCCAATTCCCAAGTCACAAATTTACCAACCAATCTATAGTGAATAGATACTATTACAAGTGCTTTTAAGAGGTCATGAAAATACACTAAGTTTCTTTCACTGACTCAATCTAATGAAGAAGTGACCTGTACATATAGTAAACCAGGGAACCCCTGGGTAGTGGAAGAAAAGCCTGGCGATAAATCTACATCCAATAAAATCAGCCACTGAAAATTCTATGGAGCACAATTCTACTGACATACATTGGGTCCCACGGATTGGAATCCACTTAACTACAATGCCCCCGCACACCCTGGTTACATGCTTCCTGGAATACACCGTTTCTCCATTTGTCCAAGTTATTCAAACGCTGGGTTCAGGTGCTCCATCACCATGAAAACTTTCAAGATACTCCTTTCCACTATCCAACCAAAGCTTACCTACCTCCCCTTTGTGTAAGGCCTTGTATTAAGGGACTCCCATCCTATTCTCTTCTCATTAAAACCCCCCGACAAGTTATCTTCTAAATTTCTGTAATTCCACTGACATACAGCGCTACAGTTTCCCTGTGAAATTATCAGTCAACCCCAAAATAGTCCTTTCTCTATTAAAATGTGCATTTTAAGCATATAGTAATTTAATTTAGAGAAAAGGGTTTAAAACATTTAAGAAAAATGTAAGAGAGTAACAAATGCGCAATTTTATTTATTTACTTCTCAAATAAGTTTAAATCCTTGAGGGATACAGCATCTGGTGGGAAAAAGAACACAAAACATTAGGTGAACATTACATACAAATTTACAAATGTTATCAAGTACCACAATATGGACAAATCCCTTCCCATCTTCTCCTAACTTACTTGGGTCAGAGTCCTGGGGCCTAGGAAAAGTGACTATCAACTCTCTTCATCTGTAAAATAAGGCTAATAGTATCTATTCTTCTAGTAAGACTCGCACTGAAGATGAAGAGATGGGAGAATATTCTTAAGAATTATGCCAGAGAAAAGGCGTGATTTATTTTCCAGCACCTACTTTAGTGTCCAATAAACATCTTTGAGGGAAGTTATTAAATACTACTTTTTCCCCAGGCAGCTTTAGTAAATTCTGCAATCTAAGCACAACTCACTGAACACTTTGCCTTCACCTTCTTTTTTGATACACCAACAGTTCCACGCTACTTACCATTTAAACTGTGGCCACTAATTTTGCAGCATTATCTACTAGTGACATTGTACTAAGTAGAATCACAGTAGTAGAAATGGCCCTTAGAGATCAAATCCCAACCCCTTGAGCAATTTGACTAAGCAGAGGGCTAGTTTGGTAATAATTTTACTTACCACACGGATTCTGTGTCCAATGGCCTTAGCAGGAAGGTTGCTTCGAAATTTGGCACGAACCATGCCACTGTTTCCATGGGCGCGAGTTACCTTTCCCCAGATTACTCTGGTTTTGTTAGGTTTGCCACCAGGAGTCACTGTGTTGCTGATTTAAAGAGAAGTGGAAAGTGCATGAGAACTCCAACAACGAATAAAGTTTAATACAAACTCACGGTAGCCTTTAGACCAGTGGCTCTCAACCCTGGTTGCCCACTTAATCAACTTAAAGCAAAAAACAAAAAAATTATGCCTGGGCTCCATTCATTTAATCCATACTTATCGAGTACCTACTGTATACCAGACACTTTTATAAAGGCTACGCATATTGCAGTTTACAGAAATCCTTTTTACAGGCTAACCCAATAATAAACAAATAAGTAAAATATGTAGGATGTTAGACGGTTAACACCTGCAATGTGGGGTGGGGGGAGAAAACAAAGGGGGCGAAGAAGCAGGAGGATGTTTCCAAGAAGCAGGAGGATGTTTCCATGTGGTGAGAGGGAAAAACTGTTTGCAATTTTAAGTAGTCAATGAAAGGTTTCACTGCAGTGACACTGGAATAAAGCACCAGGTGAGGGAACAAGCCATACACTTATCT